GTTCTATGGCGGAAGAATCAAAAGCGCGTCCCCCCAGCGTTTCCCAGCCCCCGGTGCCTGGAAGCCTGCCTCCTCCCGCCACCGTGCCGCCCGTGCCCCGTCTCCTCTCTCACACGATCCGCCACCCTTCGACGTCTAGGGGGCTCTGCTTAGAAGAAGAAGAGACAACTCGCCCCTAAAATCAAGCAGTCTCCCGGGGAAAGGAAAACGAAAATGCTGTGCTGAAGCGTGAATTCCTTTTCTGCTAAATACACTCTTCCAGGGAAATTACCAGAGTTAGCCCAGAGTCTAGAGAAGTCGAGCTAATTACCACGGGGCACGGAATTGACCTTTACTTAGAGACCGCTCACAACACGCAGCTGCCCCATCATCTGCTCCACGGCGACGGCCGCACAGCTCCGAGGCAGAAGCACCCCTGCAGACCCCACTCCCAGGGCCAGGACGTGCGTGGGCGGGTCTCCCGTTTTGAAAACCAGCGAAAAATGGAACGAAATGGCCGAAGGACAATTGCAAATTACAATCGAGTCAGCCGTCTAGTTGGCGCTCTCAACGGCGAAAGCCAAATGAATGGGAAAACCACCAAGTTCCAGTCCAACCCTCAGCGCGTCACCTACACGGCGTGGGGATCAAGCGAGGGGACCAGGAGGAGGGTTTGCAGCTAAACTCAATGAAAACTGAAAACACTTTTTGATTCTTTAACTTCTTTGAGAGAAGTAACCCAACCTTCATGGTGTGCAGGACAGCACAGTGGGGAGGGGGAGACTATGTCTCTTCAGGGGTGATTGGGACAAAATAATCTGCGGCAGAAGTTATGAGACATTAATTTCTAAAGGCAGGAAGTCCTCCAAAGTCAGACACAAGCTGCCTCAAAATAGAGCAGTGAAATAGTTACCAAAACGAGTCGCATCGAAACACCGCAGAAATATGTAATGCATCGTCTGTACCCACGCTCTCTAACACGGGAGGAAAGATCTGTGACGTGTACGATCGAGAATTCACAGAATCAAAATGAGTCCCGCTTTCTCGGAACATTCAGCACGTGTCGGAAAGCGCTTTCTGCTCTCTTACATGTAACACGCTTCGACACACCTTCCTTCCACAAGTAACTATGTCCCCTTTCCGTTTTTTAATATTTCTGCTGATTTCAGAGAGGACAGGAGAGGGTGGGAGAGAGAAACATCAACAATGAGAATCACCGATCAGCTGCCTCCTGCATGCCCCCCACCCACCGGGGACTGAGCCCCCAACCGTGACCTCCCGGTCATAGGTCAACGCTCAGCCACGGAGCCACGCCCAGTTGGGCTGTTCCCTTTTTGCTGGCAGCTGTTCCAAAGCCTTGATCCATATCGGCGATAACCTGAACGGTATCACCACTCTGCAAACGAGCCACGTACTCCAAAATCAACTACATCCAACATATATCCTAACCGCTTGGGTTGATGACAAAAAGCAGACTTCCCATCTCAGAGCAAGTAGTAGAATTTGTTTTAAAAAAAGAACGTCGTGTTTAAGTACATTGGTAATTCGGGTTGATTTGCCATCTGGAAAATTATCTCAACACTCTACACAGTGGCTGTTTCAACATCCTGGGTTCAGACCACTCATTGGTGGGGGGCGTTGGGGGGTGTCACGGCACCCTTCCCGCCCGCCTGGGGCTTCGCCCAGCGCAGCACGGCGTCCAGGTGCGGGCTGAGTAATATGACTTAGTGATGAGGACAGGGTGACGGAGGAAGGGGGAGCGCAGGCGAACAGCCCTGTGGGGGCTGGTGCTGCTCCGGCCGCCAGCAGGCCAGGTGCCCCCATGACAAAGCATCTTAACCGCCTGCACTCCCTCCATCGACGCCCTGACCCGCCAGCCGGGCGTCGCTGGCTTCCTGCTTCATCTCCAGCTGCAGACGCAGCAACAGGGTCCTGCGTGGCTCAAAGCCCGGGACAAACTACAGCCAAGCGGTAGAGCAGAGCAGCCCCGCAAGGCAGGCCACCGTCCCAGCTACGGCAGATCGGCCCACCCTCAGCCGCCGGTCCCCCACTCCCACCCGCTGGT